AGCTCAACTATAAACTATGGCACTCACTTCCGTGTGATTATAACTTGGGAAGAAAACCAGTGTGCTTAGGAGTGTCCATGTGTTCACATCCCTCACATGACTTCAATTGATTTTCTCATTGATACATCACGTTACTGTGATTTCTTTGCATATAATTATAACTTATTGCATAATTTTCAACATGTGAAATTATATTATTACTGTAAATTATTGTATTGAATATACTTTTAGTAGGCTATCCATTCTTGCCTAAATTTAATTTTATATAAAAAAGAACAGTATAACTCTTAGATCTTTTTTCATCCAGCTATATCTTTTTACCATCTGGAAAAACATACATACATTAAAATTTAATTACTGTATTGTTATACACATATAATATTGTGATCCTACCAATTTTCACAAACAAAAATATAAATGTGTGGAATGGAAATGGAAAACAGCTCATTTCACTAAGAAAAATAATTTTGTCAACAAAATTTGTATACAAGTCATAATAAGTTTTGATTAAAATTAGGGTTTCAAATGTCAACTGTGCTCAGAATGCTAAACAATTTTCTACAAATTTCTCTCTCATTGTGTTGCCATATGCAATTCCTCTTGCCTTCAGCTGCATGTGTCAAATGTGTGATCTGACTACACTGCACGAGTCAAACAGGGATAATTTTTACCATGAAAGATTTAAAAGTTCCGCTCGTACACAGCGTTAACATTTACTTTATCGGGTCTCCAGTAAACAGATGCCATCTTGGCAAAAAATTATGGGCTCCATTTCTGGGTCACGGCTTCATTACTGAGAGAGCGACCACAGGTTGTGCGTGCTGCAGCATCTCACAGCACCACCATACAGCTTGTGCTCACAGCATCACTTAATTATGAATAAATAAATAAATAGCTGCAATTATTTTGCAATGACAGTGTCATAAAAGATCCTGACTGTCATAAAGACTATGTACAGGGTTCCGTTATCAGTAAACACAATGCAGTTTAGGATGTTCACAGCGTGTGGCAGACATTCACAACACAAAGCTGTGTGTGAACAGCTTCATGAAATGTGACCTCATATTCCTTTAGAAAATAAACTTTTGGAAAATTATTTATATTCATGATTTAGTGACCAGGAATCTGATGATAACCAACCCGTTTTCTTTATAGCACATCTCATTTTGACGTATACTTTACCTAAGGCCAAAAACTGATATACAAGAAAATGGTAGCAGCTCATGAAATTGACACTGTACTGTCTTCTTTTCATGGGTCCTCTGGTTGGTTTAAATTAAGGCACTTTTGTACAGCAGTTTCTTAACGTTGGGAATGCTTGTGAGAATGGGCTGTAATAACAGTGTGTGTGTGTGGCTAGAGTTAATGATGTGCATAATATATTGCGAGAAATTTTGCTACATCAGGTTACATCGGCTGCTATTCCTGCACGGGCTCTGAGCCACTGGCTGGTCCCTCTTAGCGGGGCAGGTCCGTGCAGGACTATCTCTAGAGAAAAAAAAATTTGCTGGTGTCATCTGCTGGTAGTAAGTGGCGCTTGTAGCACTTACTACATTGCTGGTAGTAAGTGGCGATGTAGCAAGTGGCACCATTCTATACTTGGACAATATTGACACACCAGAACAGCTTATTGGTTCATTATCGTGCATAAAAAGTAGGTACTGTATATATAAATTGTGAATATAGTGTAATAACAGCAAAAATGCTATGATTTACTGTTCTAAGCCAATACTGTAATATACTGAGCATTTCAATGACACGAATATATCTGTGGGTACCTATAATGTACATGTTCTGGGAAATTTATTTTAAAGAAAATATCTCTAGCCACCACTATCACACTGGCCGCATGAATGTAATCATGTACATGTTCTGTGATACAAAAAACATTAGCTAAAGTGTATATTCAATATTTTATTAGAAAAAAACCCGGTCTGCATTTATGAAATAGATTTATTTATGTCAAGTCACTAAGTTTGTTTTAAATGATATCTACAAGTTTGCAAATACTTGTACATTATTTTTATTAAATTCAATACTGTACACCTATCAATACAAAAGTTTCTCTTTTTAAATTATTTAAGAAACAATAATTTGTTATAAGGTTTATGTTTTGAGTTTATTTAAATAAACCTGAATATTTCATGAAGCTCTTCATATGTACAGTGAACTTTAAAGTAGTGTACAACATATTTGTAAAGAAATATATAATTGTATATCATTGTCAATGACAGGAGGCCAGTTAGCCCGCCCATAGCTAGGGAGCATACCATGAGCTCCCTATCCATGGACAAGAATGTTTACACAATCATCCAAGTACTAGCCAGACTCAATTGCACTTAAATTGACTGACAAACATGAACTAAAATTTCCCCAAGTAATCCAAACAACCCAACATTGTAATTTTCAGTAGGAGTGGACAAATTTAATTCTTATAGAGAAATGGATGAAATTCTTATTAATATGTCATCAAACCTTTCATAAATCTATAAAATATCAAACTGTTCATATATTTAACAGAAGCATATACAGTATATTCAACAAACAACTAATCTGCATTATCTTTGACGGTCAGTATCACGGTGGAAAAATTGCTCAAGTCATCATCCGATGCAAGCAAAATATTTAACTTTCTGGGCGATATCTTTACGAGTCGACTGAACAGTACGAGGAAGCGAGACGATTCCCACCACTATAGTGAGGCGATGCCAAGCTGGTTAGGCAAGAATATTTAATGAGCCAGTACTTGTGCCATGAAAATATCTCGTCACCACTATCACACTGGCCGCAGAATTAACATCAGCTACTTCTCAGCCTAATAGTTTAATATTAGCCATAAGTGTTTATATATTAAAAAAAAGGCCCTTCCCCCCCCCCCCCCCCCATGTCGTAGCGAGCACCAAGACTGCCCTAGTGACCAGGTCAGTACCTGAGCTTGGTGGGGGTGTGGTGCCCGCACCGCCCGCCTTCCCCCCTCACTAGAGTGAAGTCCAACTGTACCTGGAGTGAATGAGTGAGTGGCTGTGCGCGGAAAGATGAGTGTTAGTGATGGTGAGAGGCGGTCATCTGGCACCTGCGACGGAAGATGTAAACAACGATGCATTCGAGTCACAATTTGCTTTTACGAGTGAGTTCTCCTCCCGGCCGGACGATCTCTTTCTTAGGCACTAAAGTTACTCGTGTTATAATTGTGCTGTATTAACACGCTGAATTATGGCCGACTACAAAAATGGAGATTTATTTGTTCGTTTCTGGAAATGAAGAAAATTCTAGCAAACTCATTTTCTTTGGTTGAAACAGACTGATGTCAGAGAAAACGGAGCCAGTTAATGGTGTTACTGTTGTAGTTACCGATCAATGACTATGGGGAATTGAGGTGTATGTATGCCCCACCTACTGGCTTTGTTGTACCCGTTGCGTTACAGCTTCACATGTTTTGTACAATTGATTTTTTACCAGAATTTATCAGAGGGCCACTATCTTTTTAGTGGCCTCAACAAAGGCAGGAAGCCGGGGGCTTGTCGAAAGTCCCCCATTTGTCCTGATGATTTTATCGAGGTGGATTTTGAAATTTAAATGTATTTTGACATTTACGGCTTTGGCGGATATATAGTTCCATCAGTCAGTCAATCAATATGTTGTTGTTTTAAATTTAGCTACTCAGAATGAAGTGTTTATGTAGCACGGGCTATGGTGAGCCCGTAATCAATCAATGATAATCACTTTTTTTTATAGCGGACCACCATCTCTCAAGTGACCTCGACAGGGACAGAAAGCCGGCGACTTATAAAAGGTATCCACAATGTTCCTGAGGATTTTTTTCCAATTGGATTTTGAAGTGAAGTAACGTTTTGGCATTTGTGGATTTGACGGGAATGCATTTCCATGGGTTTATACATCAAACGGATAACATCAGCGGCGTATGCAAGGCTGGCGAACATAAGAACTGCCTTCCGAAACTTGTAAGAAATCATTCAGAAATTTGTATACCTCGTATGGCAGACAAATACTGGAATATGAGTATACATCTTGTCAAACACAAAACAAAGTTAGAAAAGGTTCAGAGGTATGCCACCAGGCTAATCGCCGAGCTAAGAGGAATGAGCTACGAGCAAAGCTTATTGACAGATAACCACTGGAAGACAGAAGAGTTCGGGGAGACATGATCACTACATATAATATTCTCAGAGGAATTGACAGGGTAGATAAAGATAAACTGTGTAACACTGGTGGTACGCGAACAAGGGGACACAGGTGGAGACTGAGTACCCAAATGAGACACAGGGACATTAGAAAGAACTTTTTCAGTGTTAGAGTAGTTAACAGATGGAAAGCATTAGGCAGTGATGTGGTGGAGGCTGACTCCATACACAGTTTCAAATGTAGATATAACAGAGCCCAGTAGGCTCAGGAATCTATACACCAGTTGATTGACAGTTGAGAGGCGGGATCAAAGAGCCAAAGCTCAACCCCCGCAAGCACAACTAGGTGAGTACATAAGTGTTTTCACGTCGGTATTTACACCCAGGTAGTATTTGTGGTAACAGTAGTAGCATTATTATTTTTCGATTTTTTTAATCAGTTCAATGGTAAGTGGGAGCTGTGGCAGGCGCTTGTGGGGATTATTATGACATACACGCTCTCCTCCTTTCCTCGTAACTCACTCTCACTCTCACACTCTCACACTCTCTCTCTCTCTCCCTCTCTCTCTCTCTCTCTCTCTCTCTCTCTCTCTCTCTCTCTCTCTCTCTCTCTCTCTCTCTCTCTCTCAGTATTTGTCAGCGTATATGGACGAGAGTGGGGAGATGCAGGAGGGTGCAAGTGAGTGTTGAGGTACGGGTAGGCCTGGTAGTGGTGGTGGGGGTGACCGAAGAGGAGGGGGTGAGAAAGGTTGGGGGTGAGATCCAAAGTGTCCACACCTCCCCCAGCCTCGCCTGCTTCGCCAGTGTCAGGCCTCAGTCTCCCTCGTGCTCAATACCGCTTCTCTCCCCAATAGGTACTTACCTCAATTTACCTGAGGGACCACCATATCTCTCTAGTGGCCTCGACGGGGACAGGACGCCAGCGCTTCCTGTCGCTATTTTGACTGATAAAAAATAAACTAAAAATAGCGCGCAATAAAAGGAACCTGGATGAGAGGCGTAGCCTAACGCCCACTTGACACTGAAGCAGAGGAGGAGAGACTCTCAGGACGGTATAATGCTCCAGTCTCTCACACAGTGTAGGAAGGTGGGTAGGTAAGGCCTCCAGCAGTGATCCCACGATGGCCCTGGTCACACTCGCAGCTCTCATTCTCTTCCTACATCATCGAGGTAAGGAAATGTATATGTTTATCTCTCAGAATGTTCGGTAATATGTTTATTGCTTGTGATGTGTGTCTATGTATGTATTAACACGATGTACTGAACGGGGTGAGAATAGCTTGAGCTACCTCATCCCTTTGTGTGTATTTTACCTCAATAAACTTATTTCAATTTCAATTTCATCAAGGTAAGAATTCTCTTGTGGGGTTACTGCTCTGTTGTTAACTTCTGTTTTAAGTTCTCATTATTTGGTTTTAAGGAGAATTTAAATGTGATTTTTTTTTTAATTTTGCCCCAAATCGTGATGTGCCCGATCTAGTGTTTATTCAAGTGAAATTGAAATTGAAATAAGTTTATTGAGGTAAAATACACACAAAGGGATGAGTTAGCTCAAGCTATTCTCACCCCGTTCAGTACATCGTGTTAATACATACATATTGACACATCACAAACAATAAACATATTACCAAACATTCTGAGAGATAAACATCTACATTTCCTATTTATTCAAGTGTGTTCATTCGATTCCTCATTTTTATAATGTGTTTTCGAAATACGTTTCTCAAATAGGCTTCACAAATTTGAAAAAGTGAATAGTTTATTATACCATTTGTATTTACATTGCTCTAATGTTTTAATTTGTCTTATGTATGTATGAGTGTATGTTATGTAAAAATTTACACTAAGTCTTTCACATTCCTGGGCGCTTTATCAAGGTCTGCGGGTGTAGTTAGCTCTTAGGAGAGTGCCACAGACTTAGTGTAAATCCAATATATAAATGTAGGTGTTTATCTTGTTATTATGTGAGAAGACATTATCATTACTTAATAATAATAAGAATACTACTAATAATAATAATAACTACATGACTGACTACTGTGCCTGGCACCGGACTGACCTGTGATGACTTTCCGGGGTTCAGACTACTACGTTTCCCTCTTTTTTTTCCCCCCTGGTGATGTCAGGGGCGTGTGGGGTACACATCAGAGGCGTGGAGGTGCCCCTGGAGGCCCGGGCAGGGGAGGACGTGCCCCTCAGGTGCTGGGTGGATCCTTGGCAGGGTCCCCTCTACTCCTTGGCCTGGTGGAAGGATGGAACCCAGTTCTACCGCAGCGTCCTCACTACCTCCGTCGGGTCCCTCGCCTCTCTCTTCCCCCTGCCCGGCCTCACTGTCAAGGTAGGAAGGGAAGGGAATTATCACGGGAAAGATCACTCACTGGTATACCGTCTGTGTAAGGCTTTTATTCCTCACCCTGCAAGAAAGCGCCAAGCCATTACGACTATATAGCACTTTTAGGTTAAATAAATAAATAAATTAATATATATATATATATATATATATATATATTGTTATTAGGCTGTCAAATAAATGTTAAAAAATCTGAAATGTTAGATTTTTATATATCGTGCATATTTCTTATCAACAGCGTATGAAATTTACATGACCAAATATTTTCATTAAAATGTTGAGTATTGTGTCCCTACCTATAACTGAAAGGTAGGAGGGTAGTTTATTTGTTAACAACAGTAATTTAACAATAGGATTGTGTATTGCCCGTGATGGGCGCATCTGACTCATATACATTGTTTGACTTGAATTTATATAATCGTTCAACTGCAGTGGCCTCGTTGGGGATAGGAAGCCGGCGGCCTGTCAAAGATCCCGCCATTTTTGTAACATTCATTTGTTTTGCGTTGGTTTGTGAACTATTATTAGGCCTGAGTGACTTAAAAAAAAAAGTTTAATCCCTGATCCCTTCCCCATGAGAAATTGTCTATACAGTATACCTAGGTCATAAAAGTATTTGTGTGTACGTCTGATACCATACTACTTGTGTAAAGGAGGAAATGTATATGTTTATCTTTCAGAATGTTCGGTAATACGTTTATTGCTTGTGATGTGTGTCTATGTATGTATTAACACGATGTACTGAACGGGGTGAGAATAGCTTGAGCTACCTCATCCTTTTGTGTGTGTTTTAACTCAATAAACTTATTTCAATTTCAATTTTAATTCCCCATGAGGGTGGCGGCGGTGGCATGGGTCACGTGGTGCTGGTGGGGGTGGAGGTGGCGGCGTCGGGGACCTACAGCTGTGAGGCCGTGGCTGACTTCCCTAGCTTCTCTCAACACTTGGTCACTGCCAACCTCACTGTCGTAGGTAAGTCCTACCAGAATATTGTTGTGTCTGTTGCAGGAATATTCCGGCACGGGCCCCAAGCCTCTGGCCGGCCCACTAGTTGTTACTCGTTTCTGTCTTACTTAGGCGGTGTATGAGTATATTGGTTTTGGTTTCTGCCCGAAACGCTTTGCGTAATAGTGGCTTTAGGCATTGTATGTACTAGCTCTATATAAATACATCAACGTTTTCTATCTCACATCGTATGTATGTACTTTACCTGAATAAATATTTGATTTGATTTGATTTGATCAGTAAGATTACGTCCAATGTGTTTAACAACAACTTCTGCTCTGTTAAATCTCAGTTGAAATCATTTTGGGTTTGTAACTCTGCACTGTGTTAGATAATGTTCTAATAAGCAATCTTGGTTATCAGAGTAACCCTCCCGTGGTTGATAGACCTGCAGCCATCATCAAACCATCCATGAGGCTATTACTGAGACTTCGATTTCCCCAGACCCGCCGGACACGCGCCCTGTGATCGCAGGCTACAAAACCAGGTACTACCCGGGCGAGGTCTTGGCTGCCAACTGCACCGTCCTCAGGGCTCACCCAGCACCTACTGTCTTTTGGTTCATCAACGGACACCAGGTGAGGCAACTAATTCTAAAAGCAGTTAAGAGATTATAATGAATGGTAAGTTTGTGTTATTGTTGTCATTCAGAAGGAATTCGTAATGTCCAAGATCAGAGTGATTAACATTATTAATAAAGGATCGTCCTAAATGGAAACGAATCTGACTGGAAAAATGTGGAGAGTGTGGTACCGCAAGGGTCCATCTTGGGGCCACCCATTTTTTCTCATGCATCAATGACATTAGATTGGCAAAGAAAAGGCCCTAGGATTCAGAATCCACCAGCTATTGAAGTCGCACAAGAGAGAACTGCGTTAACAAAAAAAAAACTAGAAATAGTTAAACGAACATTTGACTTTCAGGAAATGAAAGTGGATATCCAACCAAACAGATCTCTGCTGAGCCCCCATTTGGACTATTGTATCCAAGCATAGAGATCTCATCTTCAGAAGGATATATATCTGCAATGGAGAAAGTACAACGCAGGGTGGATCTCATAGAAACTTTTAAAATAGTGAACAAGTTTGATGATATTAACCCATACGACTTGTTTAAAAGCTCAAATGTAACACATACAAGAGGCAACAGCTTCAAGCTCAACAAGCCACAATGTAGGACAGACAACATATTTTTTTTCACTCATAGGGTTATAAACCCACGGAATCGCCTACCTACCGAAGCCGTAAATACCAAGCCATTACTGCAGTTCAAAATCCAGTTGAAAAACAATCCTAAAAAAAGATGGGAGGGCCTTTGACAAGCCACTGGCTTCCTGTGTCCCTGTCGTGGCCACGAGATAGACAGTGACCAACAGGTAAACTCAGGTTTGGCTCACTCTTCATATCCTCTGTAGCCTATGCTCTTTCATCCACCCAGCTATTTCCTCCCCCACCCACTCTAACCAACTCTCCACCCTTCGTCCGAGGAGCAGGTGGAGGAGGGGCGGCGGGAGGTTATGGAGGTGACCCTTGAGGCCGACCTCACCTTCACTCTCACCGCCAGGTTCACCCTACGACTCAAGAGACACCACTTCGTCAACGACGCCGTCAACCTCACTGTGAGTAACTTCTCTCAGCCTCACCCACAGTAGACCCCCGTCAACCTCACTCACAGTAGACCCCGTCAACCTCACCCACAGTAGACCCCGTCAACCAAAGGTGATGATTTGATTTATTATTGCCACCGGAGGCGGCTAGTTTATTGTGCACCTCATACTCATCCTGTGAGCGGTAGCGCAAAAAGGATTACAGAGGGCACAAAAGGTCTTTATCAGACCTCAACGAAAATAATTACATTAACAATTTCATCTATCCTTCACACCTTATAATTATAATGTCAGCTAGTCACAGAGAATGTTTGATTTCAGTAGCTATATATTTACAGTTAATCATTATACATTAACGGTAGTTTTGTCGCTAATACATAACTGTTTGAGCAATGGAGATATTACATAGTCATAGGGGAGCTGCTGTTTGTTATTACTAGTCTTCACAATACACTACTTGCTTCTTAATCTCATATGTCGTTTATCTACTGAATGCAAAACATGGATACAGTGCAAGGATTTGAGGTATTTTATACTTAGTAATAAGATGGTTTGCCATTTTATACAGCGTTAGATTACATTTATCTCTAAATGGCAAAATTTTATTACAGTCCAAGATAAAGTCCAAGTTCGAGTGTGTGTCCCTGTCTTTGTCCACACACTTTACTTCATCTAGATCCCTATACAAGCCAAACTGCCAGAGATACTTGTAGCCTAGTCTTATTCGAGCTGTGAAAACATGTTAGTCTGCTGATGATGTTACTTGCCCCATACACATGTTTTACTTGACACATTTCACTGTGATAAACAATGGACTTGCTAGTTCCAGTTTGCACTGTTCTGCTTTTTTTCAAATTTATCCAAGAATTTTCGTCTAATGACACTTTCTAGGGACCTATTTGATAACTCAAAGATTCCGTTCAACACTGTACGTTGTTATTTATCCTGCTTTCTGGTTTAATCTGCACCAAGAGCACAAATGTGGTGTTTTTAAAATGCTAGGCTAAGCTACATACGTAAATACATAGATGTACAGATTTATGTATGCTACATAAAGTGTTCGATGTACTCACCTATTTGTACTTGCGGGGGTTGAGCTTTGGCTCTTTGGTCCCGCCTCTCAACCATCAATCAACAGGTGTACAGATTCCTGAGCTTATTCGGCTCTATCATATCTAGATAGTACTCGATGTACTCACCTATTTGTGCTTTCGGGGGTTGAGCTTTGGCTCTTTGGTCCCGCCATGTGTCTTTTACATAGTGTCATTAATGTGCATTTACAAAGCAGTGTGGAGCGCAGGTGGGACAAAGCTTTTGGACCACCACCACAGTCACCACGCGCCGGGCGCTACCACACCACCACCACACCGCCCTCAACCATCACCTGCAAGAACCAACTGATGATAACAAATCCCCGCCACACTTTGGGTCACATACTGGAGGTATGTGTGTGTGTAATTACAGGATGAGAGCTACGCTTGTGGTGTCCCGTCTTCCCAGTACTCTTTGTCGTATGAAACTTTGAAACTATTGACGGTTTTGGCCTCCACCATCTTCTCACTTAGTTTGTTCCAACTGTCTACCGCTCTGTTTGTAAAAGAAAATTTTCTAATATTTTTTCAGCACCTTTGTTGTCTTAGTGTGAATTTGTGTCATCTTGTTCGTGAAGTTTCTGGTTTCAGGAATTCCTCTTTGTCAATTTGATCTATTCCTGTTAGTATATTGTAAGTGGTGATCATATCACCTCTCTTCTAGTTTTGGCATATTTAACGCCTCTAGTCTCTCCTCGTAACTCTTGTTTTTCAGCTCCGGAAGCCATTTTGTAGCTTGCCACTGCATCCTTTCCGGTTTATTTATGTGCTTCTTGAGATTTGGGCACCACACAACTGCTGCATATTCCAATTTTGGTCTCACAAAAGGTATGAACAATTTCTTTAGTATTTCACCATCCATATAATTAAAAGCAAGTCTGAAGTTGGAAAGTGAAGCATATGCTCCTCTCACAATGTTCTTTATGTGTTCCTCTGGCGACAGTGTGTGTGTGTGTGTGTGTGTGTGTGTGTGTACTCACCTAATTGTACTCACCTAATTGTGCTTGCGGGGGTTGAGCTCTGGCTCTTTGGTCCCGCCTCTCAACCGTCAATCAACTGGTGTACAGATTCCTGAGCCTATTGGGCTCTATCATATCTACATTTGAAACTGTGAATGGAGTCAGCCTCCACCACATCACTTCCTAATGCATTCCATTTGCTAACTACTCTGACACTGAAAAAGTTCTTTCTAACGTCTCTGTGGCTCATTTGGGTACTCAGCTTCCACCTGTGTCCCCTTGTTCGCGTCCCACCAGTGTTGAAAAGTTCGTCCTTGTTTACCCGGTCGATTCCCCTGTGTGTGTGTGTGTGTGTGTGTGTGTGTGTGTGTGTGCGTGCGTGCGTGCGTGCGTGCGCTGGGTTGTTGTTGTTTTAGATTTAGCTACTCAGAACGAAATGTCCATGTAGCACGGGCTATAGTGAGCCCGTAAGTGCGCTGGGACCAATTCTCTTTTTAATATACGTAAGTGACATGTCTACCGGAGTTGAGTCTTGTATGTCGATGTTCCCGGATGACGCGAAATTAATGAGACGAGTTGTGACAGATGAGGATTGTAGGATCCTCCAAGAGGACTCGTAACACGTTGCGGAGATGATCGGAGAAATGGCTCCTGGAATTCTACACGAGCAAGTGTAAAGTGATGTAAATGGGACTAGGTGGTAAGAGATGAAAGGGACAATACACAATCAAGGAGAAAGTACACAATGAAGGGACAATGCGCGTCCTATCTTGCACGAAAGGGAGTTGAAAACAAGCTCTCTGAACACATGAAAACATGTCTTGGCTCTCTTGAATACAGCGTACATTTCTTTACAGGAACATCAACTACCTGCTGTCCGAATGTGTTGGTATCGGTGGTGGCGGTGTGTGTGTGGGCGTTGCTGTGGGCGTGAGTACACACCGTGGGAGTACTCGTGGGCGTGAGTACACACCGTGGGAGTACTCGTGGGCGTGTACATACTGTGGGTGCTAAACACTGCCTACTTCCCGCTAAAGGTTAGGTAGTTGGGCCCCTAATGCAGGTGTGTCGCTAAATTTGGAAGGTAAATTATTGGCTGAAGCAGAGACAATAGGATACACAATTCCATACCAGTGTTAACAACTCTATTGCAGTCATTAATCATGTTTATGAATTATTTCCCAGTGCATTCATTTTACACTTTCTGTCCCATTGAATCGGAGACCTTTTGCTTTTGGGGTGAAAGTATCACGAGCTTTCTCAAGGATATGGATCATAAACTCGTGAAACAATAGTAGATTCAAATGCTGTCAGTTTCCTTGTCTAGCACCTCAATGTGACATTCAAGAGAGAAAACATGACGTTCTCAGTTGCTACATTGGATCTGAGGAGGTCTGTAGCCTCTAACATGTTGCTGTGTTATTTAGTTACTTATTATACAAAACTTATTTCTAATAACCAGTCTTGGTAATCTCTGGTGGAACACTTATGTTTACAGTATTAATTTAAGATAAACCTTCTTGTGACGCCTCATGAACGAGACTGATGGTTTGTGAGTGATTTCCTGGTGCTGTGTCACCAGGCGACCAGCCCTGCATGCCACCCACATCCACATAAGCACGAGTATTCACCGTGACCACTGCAGCGAGAGCTATAGTTATTGCAGCAGTGTCTACCCGGCACATGTTAGCGACTAGTGTTCAACTTGTACCTGTTACATTGTGTGTAAATCTTTTCAAGAGATTCTGTGCTCCCAGATTCACCAATATCATGCTATGCCATGGCTAATGATTCCAGAAGTCTGTATCTAAGGTCGCCTTCATAACACAGACTTACGCTGTAGTTAGTGATGAAACAGCAATGGAAGTATCAAGTAGTTGCATTGAATAAATATACATATGTTGATTCACTGAGGAATTTAACTTCAAACCCTTTTGTTTTACTGTATGTAGCGTAGCGTGGAAATAAAGTGAGATACAATGAAATTTCAAACTTTCTCTGACTCATTTACATTTGAATGCCAGATTATCATCTAATTGAACAACCTATCATTGTCCAAATATTATATATATATATATATATATATATATATATATATATATATATATATATATATATATATATATATATATATATATATATATATATATATATTTATAAATAAATATATATATATATATATATTTATAAATATATATATATTATATATATATATATATATATTATATTTATATATATATTTATATATATATTTATATTTATATATATATATATATATATATTTATATATAATATATATAATTTATTTATAAATATATATAATTTATATTATATATATATATTTATAAATATATATAATTTATATTATATACATATTTATATTTATTTATAAATATATATAATTTATATTATATATAAATAATATATTTATTATATCCTTAATGGGGGGGGGTCCTTAATCCAAATTTCCCCGGAATACGACCCGCCAAATCGTTTAACAACCACGTACCCATTCACTGCTGGGTGAACAGAGGCTACAGTTAAGGAGTGGCGCCCAGTCAATCCCCCCCAATCCTACGAACCCAGGCTATAACGCCCGCGAAGCGAGATCCTGCTTCGTTTCGCATAAATAAAGGATTTATTTATGCGATTTATTTATCAGTTTCAGTTTCTCCATTCTGAAACTGAGTCAAGAAGCTGGCTTCGTCAGCTTAACATGTGATCACAATATGCAGTGTTCCTGATGCCTCACTGCTAAGTCTGCTGCTGTCATACAAAGCCTCATGCATGTGAATTCAAATATATGTAACTGGTTCACCACAGATGTTATATGTAACTGGCTCACCAGAGGTGATGCACACTAAACTGCCGCTCACAGGATGAGTATGGGGCACACAATAAACTATAGTCGCCGCTAGCGGCAACAATCAATAAAAAAAAAGCCTACCGTTAAAAAATCTACAAATAAATAGTTTCTACAACTTGTCCGATACTTGAGCAATGCAAATCGACCTTAGTCTTTTCTGATATAGAACTAATCTAGGTCATATATTTTGTCTGTTCTAGAACAACACTGACATTACCACCCCCAACACCATCATCAACAGCCTCATCATCATAATATCAAAAAAGCACAAAAGAATACATTATTCTGGAACAAGCAAGACAGACAAGGCAGGAAAGCTGGAAAAAGAAACAGCGGGAAGTTCTTATCAAGAGTTTCCGGCGTGTTAACTGCTAATATTAAAAGGGAATTCACGTTTAATATCATATATAATAAGTAGGGGCAGCCTCTGCTAAATAATAATAATGGATCAGCTGTTCAATTATATACTGTGTAAATCACTGTAAGACTTTTGTATTCATTTATAGTTCACATAGATTTAATTATTATTGTATATATGCTCTAATTCTCCATAATTTGTGACCGATACTCATTTGGAGTGTTGACTTTTTTTTCCTTTTTATATTTGTTTAATTAGTACATATAATATAGCATTTGGTGATCAGTTTTGTGTAATATTTATGTTTCTTACAAGGTGTTTAACTGGTAATCTACAAGTGTTTTAAATGGTTTGTCTTTGTATAAGTTTTCTGAAAGTTTGTAGTTATTACTGTAATTTCGAATTAGCTTTGGGTATCTATATTGATTTGATTACTTTACGTAAGTTGAACTGTGTTTTGTTCCGTTTGTAACTAGTGTCGCTTTATATCTCATATTTTTTTTAGGATTTAGTATGAGTTCTTTCGTTTTGATGGTATTTTTAATTTAACTTGTGTATTTTAGATCTGATGATGAATATGAGAAGTATTCGAAACGTCATGAATTTAATTAGTTATATGAATGTTTATATATATATATATATATATATATATATATATATATATATATCGTACCTATAGCCAGAACGCACTTCTCAGCCTACTATGCAAGGCCCGATTTGCCTAATAAGCCAAGTTTTCCTGAATATATTTTCTCTAATTTTTTTCTTATGAAATAATAAAGCTACCCATTTCATTATGTATGAGGTCAATTTTTTTTATTGTATAATATTAACGTAGATATATGACCAAATAACCAACCCTATACCTACCTAACCAGCTGAAAAAGTTAGGTTAGGGAAGGTTAGTTAGGTTAGGTCGTCGAAAAAAACATATTCATGAAAACTTGGCTTATTAGGCAAATCGGGCCTTGCATAGTAGGCTGAGAAGGGCGTTCTGGCTACTAGGTACGACATATATATATATATATATATATATATATATATATATATATATATATATATATATATATATATATATATATATATATATATGTTACCCACTTCCCCAATATTAATGCTTTGTCTTAAGACACGAAACTTCACCAGTGTAATCATTTCCTCAAATTTATATTGTACTTAATATGTTGAACTAAAATTTTGTTACAATGTACCTAATATTAAGTTTACCTCATCTGTTAGATTAAGGTCCTGCCCGACACGCTATGCGTGTTAATGGCTTTGCAAGAATGTAAGAATACCACTGTTATATTCTCTCACAAACCCAATGTATACCTCTTGTATACAAAAAGAATAGGGGGTGGTAGAAGAAAATATCAAAGTGTTCAGTGAGGATCCACAAGGTCTTTTCTGAGTACTCTTTATTTTCTTTTCCGAGGCTATGGGTCCCTTACACTTGCTCAAGAGATGGTACCCCTTTTAGGTCTTGTATATAAATAAATGAAATAAATAACACGCACCATTAGTACATCTGTTACGTTCTTGTCAAGGATTAACTGCCTATAAATTACTGCAGCTCTCGAGGCCAAAGATATTCAGTTATTCTGTTGAGTTAAGCATCTTGAATATCTGACATTAAGATGAAAAGCACGAACACTTGAGATTTTTTTTACTGATCATTTCTCTCCCATGTTTTTGCTCGTTAAAATTTGGAATGCACAAATTAGACGACTTATAAAGTGATAAATCACTTATTACTGGTTATTGACAGTCATTAAATGTGAAAATATTAATAAAAAGCAAGGGAAAGAGGGTAATGAAAGAGCGAGGGGAGGAACAAGTGACATGTGTAACAGTAGGCGACCCACTACCGAGTATGGGATCCGTGACGCCTCTTGCCAGGTTCCAATAATATTCCACCCTCTCTAACACCAACCCTTCCAACTTAACAATACAACTTTACCTCCCTGTACCTCTAGCGACCGCATCATCATCACCACTACCAGAGTATATTATTATAACCAATAAAATAGAAACAGTTTGATGATAGTATAGTTTTAAAAGAAGCGTGTGAGTGTGTGTGGTGCGGCGGAGAGCATCAGTGTGATACTGAGTGAGAGAGGGAGAGGGTGTGTGTGTCTAGTGCTCCGTAATTCTATTTTACACCAACCATGGGGAGGAGAAGTCCCAGCAAGGACCAGAGTCCCATGTCTCAGAACTACAAGATCGTCGTGGTCGGAGGAGGAGGCGTGGGTAAATCCGCCATCACCATCCAGTTTATCCAGGTAAGGAAAGGCAGAGAGAGAAAAAGGGAACACTGTGAGAAAGTTTGATCTGGATCGTAAGATGTTCTGGCTCCTTGCCCTGGGCGGCCTCTCTTCCTTCTTTCTCCTCTCCCACACCTTCTCCTTCCTTCCCAGCCTTCCTCAAGACATTATCTGGGTCGTCTAGCCGACGGAAGGCGCTCAAGATGGAGCTGTAAGCTGAAGAGGGGGAAGAAGCGGCGTCTTGAAGCTTCTCATTTTGGGAAGGGTGAAAACGGGAGGAGGCGGGGCTGGCCGTCTTAATGGTGGTGGAGGAGGAGGAGGAAGGTCTTGTTTACGTCTCATCGCCTGGGGGTAAACTCCTCAGGGTTACACCGCTGCCTGGGGGTAAACTCCTCAGGGTTACACCTCTACCTGGGAGTAAACTTCTCAGGGTTAATCCTTGTTGACTTTGTAAACTCCTTACGGTCACACCTCGCTGCCTGGGGGTAAACTCCTCAGGGTCACACCTCGCTGCCTGGGGGTAAACTCCTTAGGGTCACACCTCGCTGCCTGGGGGTAAACTTATCAGGGTCACACCTCGCTGCCTGGGGGTAAACTCCTCAGGGTCACACCTCGCTGCCTGGGGGTAAACTCCTTAGGGTCACACCTCGCTGCCTGGGGGTAAACTTATCAGGGTCACACCTCGCTGCCTGGGGTATACTCCTCAGGGTTACAACTGCCTGGGGGTATACTCCTCGGGGTTATACCTCACGGCCTGAGAGTAAACTACTCTGGGGTTTCAATACTAACAGTATATAAAATATATAGAAAAAATCACCATTATCACTATATCACAGATATAGAAAATCACCATATTACCTAAAATTGCTACCACGTAAATATTACTCTACTTGTTGACCAGACCACACACTAGAAGTTGAAGGGACGACGACGTTTTGGTCCGTCCTGGACCATTCTCAAGTCGATTGTGACAATCGATTTCTCACAATCGACTTGAGAATGGTCCAGGACGGACCGAAACGTCGTCGTCCCTTCAACTTCTAGTGTGTGGTCTGGTCAACATACTTCAGCCACGTTATTGTGACTCATCGCCTGCATTACTCTACTTGCTATTCTGTATTGCCAAAGGTGGTACTTATTAAGGGATTCGTAAGAATGAGGACACACACAACATAATCAAATTAGTGGAGTGGATAGCTGCAATTATCTTAATGCGTAATAATTACATTAATGTGATTATTACATGAGACTATGGCTGAAAGAAAAATCACATTATACCAATTCTCAAATATTTGCGGAGCTTATAGCTCGTATCTTCTATACAGTTCCCGGCAAATAGCCTCGTGTAGTGAAGATATGGTAATATTTAATTTACTGTATTCGTGTATGGACAGGTAATTCCACTACGGGCTCACCATAGCCCGTGCTACTTGGAACTTTTTGTTCCCAGGAGCTGAATCTCTCTAACAACAACAACGTGTATGGGCTTACAGTTTGTACAGCTGTCCAGGAGAGCGTATGGAGACGGTCCACCTTCTACCAACTCATGGTTGATGGGGGGCGTGTTCTTTGTCGGTACCTATCAGTACTTACTACTAGTCTATCGGTGTCTACGGAGACGATTGATTGATTCATAAGGATTAAGCCAGCCAAGAGGTGGCACGGGCATGAATAGCCCGTAAGTCTCTAGGGGATAGGAGGTCTAGCTTTTGATGACGGTGGTGTAGCGAGGCGTGATGACTTGTGTGGTGTGGTGTGGGGTTGTTGTGAAGCGAGAAAGTGGTGTGGTGATTGTAGGTAGACTTGGTGATTGATTGTTGGTGTGTGGTGATGCAAGGCGTGTATTGAGGCGTGGCGATTGTGTTGAGGTGTGGTGGTATTGTTAGGCGTGGAGGGGGAGTGTTGAAGAGGTGGTGGTTGGTAGCTTAAAGATACTTACCTATCATTATGTACCGGGTAGGGGCGGTCTAGCTCCTTATGCCCCACCGAGTAGCCTTGTTGTACCAGCTGCGTTATAATTTGACTGCTCTTAAATTCGAACTCTGTCGAATCTGGCATTAAAGGTGGAGATGGAGGAGGCTTCCACACCTTCTTTCATTGCATTCCACTTATTGACCACTCGTACGTGGTATGAGTATTTCCTTCTTATTTCTTCAACATTTTCGCGTTTCCTGTTTCCCTCTGTGTTCTCTTACCCTACTTTCTCTCAGTTTAAAGACGTTGTCCTTGTCCATTGTGTCTATTCCCCCTAGTATCTAATATGTTAGGATCATATCACCTCATTTATTTTTCCTCTTGGGTTGAGAGATTTAGTTCCTTTAACCTATTCTCGTAGCTTAACAAATCACACAGTTCTGCTACTAATCTTGTCGGAATCTTCTGCAGTTTTTTCACATTTTGTTCTTCACAACATACGGATTCCAGGCTGGCGCTGCATTTTCCTGTATATTTTTAGCATAAACTGTGTAGCTCTTATAAAAGTCCTACCATGCGGTTACCCTGCGATTATTTCAGAGGATCAACGACCAGGTCGTCCTGGTTGGTCGTTTGGTCAGCCAGGCTGTTCGACGCGGCTGCTCGCAAGCTGAGGTATGAATCATACGAATCAATTTATAAAGGTTTGATGAATAGTTGGCCATAGTGGTCATGGTGGACTGGTGAGTTGGTTAGTGTGGTGGAGGGCTAGTCTCGATGGTGGTGTTGGGCATTATAGTAATTGCTGTTGACTATTAACTATAGTGGTGATGGGCTGGCCACTTGTAACGTAACGGTGACGACGGTGACGACGTCTAACCGCTGGTAATGTCATGTCGTGCGGGCACAGTGACTCACGCATCAAAATCACGACTGACGTGGGGCAGCAGGCGTCATGGTGGTGGGCTGGGTGGACAGGCTAGCCGCAAGTGATGTCAGCATGGTAGAAAATGTCAGTACCTCTGTTTACTTGTCAAGTGGGACATTGTTTCTCAGCGTTTACTTGTCAAGTGGGACATTGTTTCTCAGTGAAAACATGCCCATGCACTCGGCCCCAGGTCCAGACTCATGGAATTCAATATTTATAAAGAAATGCAAAGTGCCGGTAGCACAGGCACTCAGTATAGTGTGGAGGAAGAGCTTGGACACGGGGGAGATACCAGATGCACTTAAAGTAGCAGACATAGCCCCTCTACACAAGGGAGGGAGCAAAGCATTGGCAAAAAATTATAGACCAGTTGCACTAACATCGCACATCATAAAAGTATTTGAGAGAGTGATTAGGAGTCAGGTCACCAATTTCATGGAGACCAATGACCTTCATAACCCAGGCCAACATGGATTTCGAGCGGGAAGATCGTGCCTCTCACAGCTACTTGAGCACTACGACAAAGTCACTGAGGCATTAGAAGAGAAACAGAATGCTGATGTGATATACACGGACTTCGCAAAGGCCTTCGATAAATGTGACCATGGCGTGATAGCACACAAAATGAAGTCAATGGGAATAACCGGTAAAGTAGGACGCTGGATACTCAGTTTTCTGTCAAACAGGACTCAGCGAGTAACGGTCAACCATATAAAATCTAGTCCAAGTGCAGTGAAAAGCTCTGTACCTCAGGGTACAGTCCTTGCACCACTGCTTTTCCTTATTCTCATATCAGATATAGACAAAAATACAAGTCACAGCTTCGTATCATCCTTTGCAGATGACACAAAAATCAGTATGAAAATTACCTCGGCTGAGGACATTGAAAAACTTCAAGCTGATATTAATAAAGTTTTCGACTGGGCATCAGAAAATAACATGATGTTTAACAGTGATAAATTCCAGGTACTCAGGTACGGTAAAAATGAGGACCTTAAACATAATACAGAGTACAAAACACAATCAAATGTACCCATAGTAGGAAAACAGCATGTAAAGGATTTGGGAATAATAATGTCGGACGACCTAACGTTTAAGGAGCATAACCAAGCAAATATTGCGACAGCCAGAAAAATGATAGGATGGATTACGAGAACTTTCAAATCCAGGGATCCCATCACAATGGTTGTACTCTTCAAGGCACTTGTGTTGTCCCGTCTTGAGTACTGCTCAGTACTCACTTCCCCCTTCAAAGCAGGAGAGATTGCTGAAATAGAGGGAATACAGAGAACATATACGGCACGCATAGACGCAATAAAGCACCTAAATTATTGGGATCGTCTCAAAGCCCTCCAAATGTACTCACTAGAAAGAAGACGAGAGAGATATCAAATAATATACACCTGGAAGATACTGGAGGGCCAAGTACCAAATCTACACAGTAAAATAACAACGTACTGGAGTGAACGACATGGAAGAAAATGTAGAATAGAACCAATGAAGAGCAGAGGTGCCATAGGCACAATCAGAGAACACTATAAACATCAGAGGTCCGCGGTTGTTCAACGTCCTCCCAGCAAGCATAAGAAATATTGCCGGAACAACCGTGGACATTTTCAAGAGGAAACTAGATTTATTCCTCCAAGGAGTGCCGGACCAACCGGGCTGTGGTGGGTATGTGGGCCTGCGGGCCGCTCCAAGCAACAGCCTAGTGGACCAAACTCTCACAAGTCGAGCCTGGCCTCGGGCCGGGCTTGGGGAGTAGAAGAACTCCCAGAACCCCATCAACCAGGTATCAACCAGGTGTTTACTTGTTAAGTGGGACATTGTTTCTCAGTGTTTACTTGTCAAGTGGGACATTGTTTCTCAGTGTTTACTTGTCAAGCGGTGCATTGTTTCTTGTACCGTAGCGCACAGGCAGGAGAGATGTATAATAATTTACACTTGGAAAATACTAGAAGGACTGGTTCCAAATTTGCACATGGAAATAGTGCCGCAAGAGACCAGAATGAATGGTCGTTTATGCAGAATAGCCCCCGTTGAAAAGCAAGAAGTGCAACAGGTACTCTGAGAGACAATTCAAATCAACATCAGAGGCCCGAGACTGTTCAACACACTTTCACTAAACATAAGGGGGGTATAACTGGCCGACCCCTCACAGTGTTTAAGAGATAAC